GCCGACATTCGTGGGAAAAGTGTAGAGGTGTATGGGTTTGCTGGGAGCCAAGGTGAGGTAGCCTTGACGACAGGCCTGCGACGACGGAGTTTGGACGTCTAGCGTGTAAGAAGCTGCCAAACACCCAGGTGTAGGGCGCGAGACAAGGGGACGACGGGTGAATTGGGTCGTCGACGGGGAGCAGTACAGGGCGGGCGGGGACCGGGCTGTTATGCGGGGTGCAGCGCAAGGCGAGTGAAGGATAGAGAAGCGATGATGGAAGCCGCCCGTGGGCGGGCTTAGTCATGCCGCTCCGCCCAATTCTCCGGCCAAGCTGAAGCTGCGCCTTACCGCTTGCGACCAAGGCCCGTCGCGTTTCCTCGCCGAAAGTGACAGAAGAAGATTGAACTTGGCGAGGCTTGATTGCGTCTTTACCGGCTGCTGCTCTGACGCAAGAGTCGCGTCGTGCTCCTTTCCCTCCATTCCCATCAGCAATACCAAAGGACTCCGCCAACAAAAATACCCTTTGGATTCGACCTGTACCGCATCCAAGTCCGCCATGTTCCGCCGCCCGGGTGCAGGCCGCTCCAAGGCTTCCGCAGATACTCTCTGCCAGAAGTGCTTGAAGAGAGGACACTACAGCTACGAGTGCAAGGCGCCCGCGCAGGAACGCCCGTACAAGTCTCGACCTTCTAGGACACAGCAACTACTCAACCCCAAACTGCAGCCTAAACTCACCACCGAGGTACCCGAGGACCTGCTGCGCAAGAAGGGCGTCGCCGATGAGATTTTGAAGAAGAAGGAAGAGGATCGCAAGCGCGCGCGCTCACTCTCTACGTCGTCTGTCGACTCTGTCTCCACCATCTCGACCAACCGCTCCCGTTCCCGCTCGCGATCTCCCCCACAACACAAGCACAACGGACGAAGACATCATGGGGACCACGACAAGGCGCTGCGGAAGCGTAGCAGGCGCTCGGTCTCTATGGACTCGCGCTCCTCACGCGCATCCGATACTGCAGACAGGAACACACGGCGGCGCATGAGCTCCTTCAGTCCTGGTGAGCGAGGCCGCCGAAGAACCAGATCCAAGTCAAGATCCAGGTCAGCGCGCATGCAGATATCACATGAGAATGCCAGGGGAAGAGCGCCGCGAAGCATGAGTGATAACAACAGGTCGCGGAGCAGGAGTGCAAGAAGAGACAGGCGGCGACCAGCTCGACGGTCAGTCTCAAGATCGCGGTCGGGGAGCGCGGATCCCATGGATACATCAGACGAGCGCAACCCACCAAACGGAGCCCCAAGAGGCCAGCCAAGCGTCTCGCATTCAGTACATCGTGAGCCTTCCAGGTCACTCTCGCCATACCATAGCAGTCGCGATCGCAGCCCGAGTCCCTACTCCAAGCGCAAGCCTGTACGCCGATCGCGTAGCCCACACGAGGCAAGAAATGGAGGACGGGCCCGTGACAGTCCGCGTGGACCGGCAAGAAACCGTTTCGACGATCGGGCAACCGTCGCGAACAGCAGAGTTGCGCCGCCGCCAGCGCAAGCACCCCCACCCTCACAAAGAGAGCGCAGCCTGAGCCCATACAGCAAGCGTTTGGCCTTGACCAAAGCCATGCAGTCAGGGTAGACAGAACAGGGATTTTGTTATTTGGGCAAATGGCCAAAACTGTATACCGGCACTTGAAAACTTGCATTGAAAGTAGACGGTGGGCAAAGGACAGTCGTAGCACAATGGGTCCACCTCATACAAGAAAAAAACTGAACAGGTCTGCAGGCTACATTAAGCCAAGGCCTTGCAAAGGCGGTGACCCAGCGCCAATGTAGGCTCCAGGCTGTTCAAGTTTTTCTAGGTTGGCGTGGGTCATAATGGGCAATCAAAGTCGGAGGCGCTATATTGGCTTCTGTGGGCTGGGGGTCTGGGACTGGACCAATACTAAGCATTGTGGGAAGGCGTTTCTTAATAATTTAATTGCCAAACGAATAGAGTCAAATAAGCTTTTGCATTGTTCTTCGTACGCCTCTTCTTTCTTCTTGTTCAAATGACTTTTGTATGATACCTATTCCTCCTCCTCCCACCTGATCACCGTCCCGATTCTGTGCCAACATCAACCAACTAGACGGTACTCGTCCCATGTCTTGACATGCCATCTGCCATGTCAACTCCCTCACCTTCAAATGTCAATAAAAGAGCTGCTCATGGTTAATTACCAGACGATTACTAACAACATACCGAATTCCAACCGTAGCCCTTCGTCGATGAAAGGCTACGGTTTGTATGAACGAGGCCTCAATTGCGTTACCGAGGATTCTCAGTTGAATCCGAAGACCCACTGTCGTATCGAGATAGGATCGCGACAGGACGAGTCCTCTGTAATGTTCTCTTCCATGTAGTTGACGACTGCGGAGGGCGACTGTCCATATACCCACTTGAAAGCATTTTCAATTATTCCGAGGTCATCATCCCCATAACTATCGTAAATGAGGAATCTCGCTGCGAAATCGTTCCGAGTCTGTTGATGTTGGATATATTGCCCAAACGTGATGTTGCAGCGTTCCCGGATTTTTCCAAAGTCTGCCATGGCTTTCAGGTAAAATCTCCCGAAAGCGAGCGCTTGGCGGCTCATCAAGTCAGCGCGCTGTATCTGTCCGAGTACATTGCTGTAGGCTGCTTCAATGATAGCGTGCACCAGGTCCGAATCCGTCAAGCTTTCTAGACAGTGCAGGGTGATGCTGGCGCATATGTACAGCTTCATCGCGCAGTCCACGATGAAGGCCAAGAGGACTGTATCAGGCTTGTTGAATCTACCATGCTCGATTAGCCCCAGTGACCATAGGGTCTCTTCAGATGAAAACCATGGTGTACCGTAGGGTCCTGGTCGTGGCACGAAGGTGTTGATTGGGGGTGCTTTAGGGGCGCAACATAAGGGCAGCACCGTCGTATCATCTCGGGAAGGTCTCCGGACTTGCTGATTAGAATCTCCGAATATCATGGCGTGATGACTCGCGCCTTCCTGGGCCGATTGCATGTGGAAGCTGGATTGATGTCGACCTGCGAAGATCTGACCTGGCTGAGGATCCGTGTAGAAAGACATACTGAGTGATACTTAAGGAAAGACAAAAGTACCCTTGCGATATTGGAAAGCCTTTATACATGCTATCGATTACTATCTGTTCACTTGCATAATTGATATTATGGTTGGGCTAGTGATTTTTCTTGGGGTGCATGGAGAACCTTGGTTGACGCGGGCAAGACACGCAATACTCTAAGAAGATACTGGAACATGATGGCCCTTTGTACAAATCAAGATGTGATGTGAAGTATCTCCCGCGGAGTGTACATAATGATGATGAGTTGTGTTGTTGGCCAAACCCGCCCGAGGTCATGACGCGAAGACGGACGGGAATTGCGAGCTAGATAAGCCGCTAGCGCGCCAAGCAAATTATTTGTGCCATTCAATTTTCTCCGCGAAGCTCCTGCTCTTCTTTTCTTCACATATTGTCAACGGTCTCCAATAACCCTAAGGTCCTTCCTCTACGAATGGATTTGCCTTTTCCAGAGCAGACCCAGAAGAAATGCACAGCCGTTCTAATCCTGCAACTCGTCCACGTCGACTTCGGTCGGTATTGGAGTTGCGGGTTCGCTTTAGGCCAACATACTTCGATGCGCACCAATCTCAGGGGCCTTGTGACCCTGATGTCGACGCCGCCGTGATGAAGAGATGTAGATTTCATGGCGGAGATAATTCCCTGATGATTATTATGCGTGGCGTTGGGGCCTATATGCGTTGACCCGTCACCGGTATCTAGGTCCGCCCCCACCTACTGGTAACCATAAGCTGCATGGAGCTGGAAAAGGAACCAACCATTCGTGGTGATTGGTTTGCTGCTGAAGTTCGTTGTCGTGCGGACCTAGACTGTTGGGGTCAATGGCTACGAGTAATGCTGGAACACCCAGCTGAAAGACTCCCCGCGCCTCCACCCTGTGTCACTCCACAAGAAGCGAGATACGCAGCTTTGGATTGGCGGACAAGAGAGCGGCTGAGAAGCGGCTTCGGATTCAGCCTGAGTACGACGCCAGACCACTGGTCCCAATAACGGCATTTTCTTAACCTGTTGCTTTGATTCGGTCGTCCATGCCACACGCGGTATTCGTCGCAGCAGGGCACACTTGGCAGGTCGGCGCCGCATTTTCGCTGACTCTAACCCAGACCTATGTCTTTCTTCGGTCAGACGCCTCTGTCGGGCCTGCAGATCACTCGTGTTTCCTATGCTGTGACTCCATTGGCGACCTGCGTCCCACCGCTGCTTGTATGGCTGAGAAGAGGGTCGCCTAGCAATATTACGATGCAGTCAGATCGGTAAACCGGATTGCATCCCAACGAAGTGCGCCACGAACGACAATCGCGGACCTTCCACCTACACGCTCCTGGTGCCTTCTGTGAAGCACAATCACAGGCCTACACATCTCCACTCTAACGTCTGCGGCCCGCCCCTCTTTCTACGGCATCCTACAGCTGTCATTGCTTTGAAATACAGACCTCTCGCATTTCCTGCGTCTCACGTGTGCATGTTCAGGAACGTCATGAATGCATATCATGGCCTTCAATCTTCCAGGCGTGCTTGTTCTACTTAGCCTAATCACCCAATCGTCATCACAGCAGGATGATCCCGTCAAAGGATTCTGTCGACGATGGGGTCACTCAACGGCGCAGGTCGACTCAAGGCTTTACATCGATGGCGGCATGATCGGACAAGTCCCCTTCAGGTCAAACTACTCAAGTAAGTGAAGCTTGGAATACTTCTAGATTCTGTCTCAGCTGTCTAACTATCGATCCCTAGATGATTGGCTTTTGTTCAGTGATTTGAACACTTCGACCGTCGATGCGGGAATGCCAATGCAGTCCGCGTACTCAAAGCCCGGTCATATACCTACCGTTTCAGGCGGCTATACTTGGGCAGATGAAACGAACAAATGCTTCTATCAATTCGGTGGAGAGTTTGCCCCAGGCACTAGCCCCATGGATTTCAGCATGTGGACCTACGATGTTCTTCTCAACCAATGGAATACTACTGAAACAATTGGCGAAAAGAACCCGCAACGAGTATCGTATGGCGCAGGAACGCAAGTCGAAAGTCGTGGGCTGGGATTCTACTTTGGCGGCTGGCTCAGCAACAAAACAACACCCGGTTGGACTGGACCCCCAATGGCTACGACCGGTCTGATGCGATTTGACATGTCTACCGGCGACTTACAGAATACAACCGGTCCAGATGATATTGGGAGAGCTGAAGGACAACTAGTATTTCTACCTGTCTCAGATAGCGGTGTGCTTGTTTATTTCGGTGGCATCGAAGACTCGTACCGCAACGGTAGCTTTGACGCAGTAGGTGCAGATGAAACCCCAGCTAAGTCTTCGTGCTAACTAGTCGTATCAGGCAAACATGAGTGTATGTCATCGAGAGAGCTGTTATGTTTGGCACAGCTAATCTATCTAGACCATACATGTCTACGATATGGCTTCATCGAAATGGTATACACAGACTGCTTCCGGCGATATACCTGACACCCGGAGGCAATTCTGTGCTGATGTCACCTGGCCCGATGACCAGTCGTCTTTCAACATGTAAGCAAATATTTCTGGTCGTACAGCTGTGAAACACCTGAAGCCGGCTCTGGAGATCGTCAATATACAAACAAAAAAAGGTCACCGAAGCCTGAGATACCCCAAGATTGCTCAGAATATCAGACGTCGCTTCGCTATGATACGCTGCCACTGTTGCAGTATCGTCTGTAGACTTAGTATACAAAGTGCGCTATATTGCTCGAGTTATGCTGACGGGCAACAGATACCTGTATGGTGGACACGGCTTCGAAAAAGCAGCAGCGTACGACGACGTCTACATCCTATCGCTTCCATCATTCACATGGATCAAGGTCTTCAGCAGTGATGACGTTCCCTCTCAAGTTGGTCACGGCGGTTGTAGCGCAAACGTCGTCAACCATGCGCAGATGTTAGTCATAGGCGGCTGGTTTCCCCTCTACGACAAATGCGATGCACCCGAGGGACAAGGACAACACAACATGGTTTTAGGATACAACGGTGGAGACTCGAAGCTTTGGGACAAGTTTAGCCCTCAGCTAGACGACTACGTAGTACCTTCACCTATTATTGCCGCAGTTGGAGGCGGGTACGTCTTTACGGTCCATATCAAAAGTTGTCACAGCTAATAAGAACAGGCCTACCGGAGGTGCTACAAAGACTTCGCCAGCAACCTGGGGCCATCCAGATCTCGCTACTTACTATACACTCAAACCTACTTTCACAGCAAGATCGGCAACTCGCTCTCTTCCCTCAGCTACAGAGTCAGCATCTGGTGGAAGCTCAAAGAAGTCAAACGTAGCAGCCATCGCTGGCGGCACAGTTGGAGGACTGGTGGCACTAATTGTTCTTCTGTGTCTTATACTCTTCTGCTTACACCGACGAAAGAAGTCTTTGAAGAAGAAAGAGGCCGAGACTCCATCTAGTCTCCCACCTGCTGAACTTGCCACCACGGTTCCCCATGAGATGGCCGACACAGATGCTAGCAAGTATGTTTCCATGCACGATCAGGCAGGTTCTATCGCCCTTGCTCATTATCCTGGTCATGTTCAACAACACTCACACTCCGCTAGCCACGAATACAACTCGCCCTACTCGGCTCAAGGCCCTCCCTCGTACGGTCACGCTCCCCCATACATATCTCCTGTTGAAGGGGGGCACACAGGTCGGTCACCACCTGGAGAGCAATTCTTTACCGACGACGTTCGCAACTCTCCGCCAGGTCCTTGGAGCACCCAGGTTCAATATCCTCATTCTGCACTGAGCCAAGACGGTCAACATTCGTATCCCACTCCAACCACAGCACGACAGTCTCCGAGTGATGCGCCTCAACAGCAGGTTCCAATCTACTACCCACGACCCAGCGATCCATCGACGCGTGCGCAATACTCCCCACCTTTGTTCCCCGACAACCAAGGAAGTCCGACAAGGACTCAATATAGTGGCGACGAACAACCCCGCAACATCAGCACTACGCACACTCCAGCGCATTTCTATGCTCAGTCACCAACACATGGATCTCCCGGGAGAGACAATAGGAGACCCATACAGGGTAGATTTGTGGAGGAGGGACATATGTGAGATGGATACATTTCTGAGCTACTTACGAGTATGTAGAAGGAGCATATTCGAATCCCGGTACATAGCTATCATATCTCAGCAGTGGATAATTTGGTTTCTTTAACGAAGCTGTTAAAACCCCCTTCTGCCAGGCTACAGCTAGAACATACGGGATCCGGAGCCAACTTCTCCATGGAGAAGTCTAATATCCGTTGACGTATCGTGCATACGCAACTAGATTTGGATAATATAGCATCTCGGGCCATGTTCTCCTTGGGAAGAGCGCTTCGACTGCCGCCATATCTTCGCTAGTCCAGTTCACCACAAGAGGGTTCCATGCTCTCCCATCGAGAGCCTTGTCGCACTGTGCTAAGTGGAAAAGTGCGAGTGCGGAATCGAGATTAGTTGTTCCCCACTCGACGGGCCAGATGTCTGGGATGTCGTCTTCGCGAGCTACCGGCACATCTTCCATGGAGAGCTGGTCTATGCTGGTAGCCTGCTTCTGCGTGTTTGGGAGGCGATCAGTCATTCTCAGCGATATATGGCTACTAGGATAGATACAAGTAATGCAATAGCGAAGAGGTCAGGAAGACAGGAGTTTTGCCGGTAATGTATCGCCCAAAGTCATCCAAGCCATCACGACGGACATGTTGGGAAGGTCGTGAAGCTGTCAGCCTTTGATGTAACTTGCACATAAGCGTGACGACAGGTTAGATTAATAGGCAAAGGCCGCGGAGAACCAAGTGTGAAGCTGTACAAATCTGGATCGAGTGAGTGTTGAGGTCTGACAGTCATGTTGGAGTTGGGGATTCAATACTAGCGCGTTAACACGTGTGATCGCGCTTCAGTTCCGCCGACGCTCACACGTCACCCACACGTTTGGTCGAATGCAAGGACACATGTCCTCAGCGACACCACAGCCCTCGCCGACTCGCCCATGATAACGCGACACCCACAATGTTCAACGTGCGCTCGATTGTGCTGCTGGTAGTGTCCTACGTCGTCATCCCGCGCCTGACGTTTCTCCCCCAGAATGTCCACTCCATCCTCATCATCTTCGGGCCCTTCCTTATACCCCGCGTCCTCGACTGGATCAATCTCGCGCGCGCGACCGGACGAAGCGTACCAATACGGCCGACGCCCCCGAGAGTCCAGCAGGCGCTGAACTTGCTCTTCGCGAGCGCTGTCGCGTGCCTCATTCTTTCCTTGTCGCGGTTCGCACCGGACAACATATTTCTCAAGACACAGAGCCACATACGGACCGAGACGAGTGTCTTGTTTGCGCGGCTACGGCACCTCCGGCCGCTTACAGACGAGGACGATGCCTTGCGGACAAAGTTCACCTCGAGTGTGCGCAACAAACTGTTATACCTGGCATATGGCCCGGACACGCTGTTGAACTGTGTCTGGTGCACCACAGCCAACGGAAACGACCAGCAAAACCACTTCTTGTACTCGCTCCCCAAGATCGTCACATCGCACATATTTCAACTAGGGGTTCTTGGTCTCGCGACGTCATCGCTTGTGGGAAGTGAAGGCTCGCGGTTCCGCACACACGCAACGATTGTGGGACTGCTCATGATGGTGGTGGAAGTGTGGTACATGGGCACGTACGACATCACGCTCAACAAGCGCGCACAGTACGTGCAAGATATCGATTCGGCCTACTGGCGTGTCCGCTTTCTACGCTACGTCACCTTCGCAGTGGTAGACATGGCTTTCGCATTTGTCCTCTGGGCTACAAGCACGAACCGCTGGCTCGCCAAGCCTGTATCCATCGCCGAACGCATCGAAGCAACCACACGAACGTCCGAAGACACCTTCAACAAGATGCGCGCGCTTGCTCTACTTACAAACTCGGTAAACCGCGATCCAGCGTTGCGAGGCGTGCGCGAGGAATACTGGAGAACGGAGGGCAAGGTTACAGCGGAAGTCGTGCAGGACGAACTTGTAACGGAACAAATCAATGCTGCAATCAGCAGGATGGACTTCAGCACGCTTGAAGGACGAGTTGGCGAGGTTGCAGATGGCATCATGAAGGGCATCGATAGCTTGAGGGCAAGCCAGACATTGGCGGCGAGTCAGGTCAGCGATCCGTTGTCATCTCCGGCATCGTGAAGTTCACTTTGCGACGGATAGAGGTGGTGGCGGGCTATGTACGGAAACCCATACAGAAGTACGTGCAGGCATCGTGACGGGGCTTCGGTAGATAGCGCCATTGAAAAGACTGCAATCGGCATGGCCGTCGTAGAATATGATACCCTGTTGTTTTGAAAAGGTCACTTGAGCATTTTTTTCCCTGCGGTGAAGTTCCCCATCGCTTGTACCGCTGATTACCGAGCTACGTCGCCCTCTCCCACGAGACCCCAACTTCATGCTCTGGAAGTTCAGTCCGACATCGCAGATACTGCGCATCATCACTCGTGCTACCCCGACATTTAAACAGGCCCGATATTGCACCGCTTGTTATACAATCCCCCATCTCCATGTCCGGGGATCGGACGCGCGAACTGGTCGCGGATACTAGCGGTAGGTACAAGGATACCGCAGGCTCGGCACACACGCCCTACGCCCGCCATGCGCATCCTTAGTCCTCAGGTACGCTAACGTCACGACCCCGGTTTCGACGGCTTCTGGAAGACGCGTCTTTCGGCGTTCTCTTCGACGGCAAATTGCTTGTGTGATGTCCAACCAACGAGAAAGACGTTTGATGTCATAGAAGGAAGAGGCAAACGGGCGCAATCAGTCTCCAGACTGGTTTCTCTGGAGAGAGGGTCTAAATCGGCTGCAAGTGGAACCCTTTATCTTTGCATTCTTGAAGGGAACACACTAGACCGCCGCCGTAATCCGCAGGCGGCTGGGCAGACATTACATCGATGGATCGTTCGGGTAGGTGGGTTTGCTCCCGCGCGTGTGATAGGGACGCGTGTGACTCTTGACCGAATTTTTTCAAGGCCTTTGTATAAGAGCACGTCAGGTACCCATCTTCTCATCCCACATTGAACTACTTACTTCCCTACCATACAGAAGCAACCCTAGATTCTTTGTCTACCCGTTGCTATCTCAATTGATAGCTTAACGACTACCCGATCTTACACACAGCAATCATGGCACCCAGCGCCGTCACACCCCCGAACCATATCGAGACTGTTACCGAACTTACCCAAGACGGCATCAAATCTGCGCTTCTCAAGAACGCCCCAGCACAAATCGACTCTGCATCGCTCACAAACTCCATCACTGCCACACCACCAAACGAGCCCGCAAGCAAAAGCCAAGATGTCGTCGACGCACCTCTCGCTGAACTCGATGCCTCCAAGGTTTCTTGCACATACACCAGCACCCCGCGCTCCGTTCCCGCTGTAGGCTCAGCAGAGATGGCCAGCCAGAAGGTCTGCACCGACCACATGGTGCAAGCTCAATGGAATGTCGAGTCCGGCTGGGCAGCACCTGAGCTCAAGCCCTACGGTCCGCTTTCTCTCGCACCCACAGCCTCATGCCTGCACTACGCAACCGAATGTTTCGAAGGCATGAAGCTGTACCGGGGATACGACGGCAAACTTCGTCTTTTCCGCCCAGACCTGAACTGCCGCCGCATGCTCATGTCCACGAACCGTATCGCTCTCCCCGCATTCGACCCCGAGGAACTCCTCAAGCTCATTGTCAAGCTTTGTGCCACCGATGGTGCCAAATGGCTCCCCAAGGACCGACCAGGACAGTTCCTCTACATTCGTCCCACCATGATTGCTTCCGACCCCGCTCTCGGTGTTGAGCGACCGAAAGAGGCTCTTCTGTTCGTCATCCTGTGCTGCTTCGCACCCATGGGCGACATGAGCGGTGGTATCAAACTGCTCGCTTCCCAAGACGACATGTGCCGCGCATGGCCCGGCGGTTTCGGTTACGCCAAAGTTGGTGCCAACTATGGTCCCTCGCTGGTTGCCCAAGGCGAAGCGAGAAAGCGAGGATACCACCAGATCCTCTGGCTCTTCGGCGACGACTGCACCATCACCGAGGCAGGCGCGAGCAACTTCTTCGTTGTGTGGAAGACCAAGGAGGGAAAGCTACAGCTTGTCACTGCCGACCTCAACGAGCGTATTGTCCTCGACGGTGTCACAAGGAGATCCATCCTAGAACTCGCCCGCTCAAGACTCACTTCTTCGTCCCCTTCAGCCGATTTGGAGACTCTCGAGGTTGTTGAGCGCAAGTTCAACGTCTTTGAGATTGAGGAGGCGGCCAAGGAGGGCCGTCTTGTCGAGGCTTTTGCGGCTGGTACGGCGTGGTTCGTTGCTCCTATTAGCCAGATCCACTTCCGAGGAAAGGATATCGAGGTCCCTATGGTCAAGGGCGACTCTGGCGCGTACGCGAGCTACTTCAAGAGCTCCCTCAAGGGCATCATGTGGGGTAGCGACGGTATGGAGGGACACGAGTGGGGCCGTGTTATCGACGAGGAGTAGATGTGTTGACACAAGTGGTGTTGGAGTTGCATGTGCATGGAAAAATGGCGTTTTGTTTCTTTCGGTGGTCGGCCATATCTTTTCGGTATCGAGCAAAAGCGAGGAGCATGGGGACTGTTTAGTTGTACGTGCGTGTCATTTCCTTGCAATAAGGGTTGCTGAGAATATAGAGCCTAAATGATCAGTCCATATTCAAATTCTACTAGATGTCACCTACATCATACTCACCATTTCAATCCTGTTACTCGCATCACACTTTCCTGGACAAGTCATAAAGCAGAGACCTATCTCTTAGATACCGAGATATTGAAGCATCGATTACCACAACAATAAAACGAACATCACGAGACACACATCACTCACGCACACAGTCCAAGTTGTCCAGCAATCGCCAACACTTCGTATCCCCGATTAAAGATTATCCTATTCACAACTACACGAACCACAAGTCCATCTCTCGAACATGCTACTCTACAACAGACCAGCGAACATGGCAACAATGGCCGCACCGGCAGGTACACCGAAAGAGCTACCGGCACCCTCGAAGCTGCTGGCAGTCGCGCTGGGCGCAGACTCGGACTCGGATCCAGTGCCAGTAGCGCTGGTCATGGCGCTGGTAGCGCTAGCAGCAGCGTGGGATTGTGTGGCAGCGACGCTGGCAACGGAAGCCATGGAGGAGGAAGCAGCGGCGCGGAGGGGCTCGGCGGCACCGCAGTAGGAGGTTACGGTGTTCTGGACGGGAGGCTTCTCGAGGGAGTCTAAAGCAATAGGTTAGATCATCTGCTGACTTCTTTGTCGTTTAGTAGGTTGACTTACCAGGGCAGTTGTTGTAGCAGACGAGAACGTCACGGTAGACGTCGCAGAGGCAGATGAAGTCGTTGCCGTTCTTGTTGCAGTCATCGATACGACCTTGGTAGCCCTGGACACAGGTGTCGACAATGTTCTGGGCGTCGCACTTGTCCTGCGCAGCAACGAAGCTGGCAGTGGCGGCAAAGGCAATAGCAGTGATGAAACGCATCTTGATATTCGACGATTGGTTCGGAAGGGTGAAGTAGGTATAGATATCGAGGAAGTCGGTTCAAATTAAAAGGGTATTAAGCTGTAAAACCGTTGATGCCCAAAGCGAATGGTGGGTATCGTAGTCTGAGTAGTGAATATCACCGAGAAAGGTAGGAGGACGGATAGACTTCGAGGAGTGCGACGACGAGAAGAAGAAGAGGAAGAGAAGAGACAGCGACGACAGGGGAGTAAAAGAAAGGCCATGATTTAAACTTTCCACCCCTCGGGAAACCCGCAATCCCTAATCCCCTCTTGTCAAACACCAAACAAAACCAATAACCTTAATCCCCTTTCCCCGGAAGTACCAAGACTGAGAGTCAAGGCGACAGACAAAAAGCATCAGTGCTTCCCCTTGCCGCGCATCTGCTCAAGACACGGGGCTAACGCCGTGTCGCTTAGTGTGTGCCAGGCTCGGAAGATAATAGCGGAAGAGAGGTGATTTAGCGCGCCGGACGCTGTCTCCTCCCTCCCAAAACTAAAATTAGTGATTTCAATGCACCAAGAGCGTATTTTTTGCCTCTTGTCTGGTGTATCCACTATTGTTTCCTTCGCCGCTCGATGGGAGGTGGGTAGGACGCAGCTGAGCTGGCACATGCAAGCACAGCATTGCCCGGAAACCTGCATGGGCGTGTGGTGGTGCAAATAGTGAAGACGACGACGCCGGAGGAAAGCCACAACAGAGCAGCTTGCATTTCGCTTGTCAAAGCTACCCGAGTCAGGATGTTAATTGGCCAGCGGGCATGATGAACGCCAGGGTGCTGGTCACTTCACGAACCAGCGACGGGGATCAAAGCCGTTACAAAGGGGATGGGCGCCAAGAAGAGGCTATAATACGGCCGCCGGAACTGCGCCCCTTCCTCTATGGCTCGATGCTTGCAGCTAGCTAACGATCTATGGCGCATCTCCGTACTTTGCGAGATCTTAACATGGGCAACTATACATCGTGAACCCACATCTCATGACATGTTGCTATGCATTCCGTGCCCATAACTCGGCTTCTGCCGAAAGACGCTGAGGTTCTTCGTTGTGTGCTAGCGTCGATGGAATTGTTATCCAACAAACAGCCTCATCGTGGTGACTGATCGGCAAGCACGGGCGTTCGCTCCCCAAATCTCGCTATCCACGCACTTGAGGCCCGTGGCTGGCACATGTAGATGAGTTCCCGATGAGTTTGGAAATTACATCGAAAGATCATGTGCCGTGCCGCGGTGGACTGATATATGTTCCTCCGGATTACCTCCACGAAAGGCCATCAGACTACTCAGATTCATGTGAACGACATCATGCCACCAAAAAAGTAGTAACTGAAACCTAGCACACACCAATTCAACATACATCAGACATGTCAAAATATCACGTAGACTCCTTTCATACATCATCATCTTCGATTGACGCAGCGCTCACGTAACAAAAGCGCTATCCTACTTCCAATCCTCTCAACCCCAAAACGCCACATGCGCACGTGCAAGCAATGCAAATATATCCCACGCATACACTGGAGGTGAGCCAGATTAGAGACAAGTTCTGAAAAACCAAGTATCATATACCATCCCAAGGAGCGTGCTCTCGCCATATACTAATGATGCTCCTTTCCTTTCGCAGATTTTGTACAAGGACGACAACGCCATGTAGTAATCTTCCACGTTTCCTCGACCGCAACTGCAGTCAACGCGCACGGCTTCTCCTGGACAGCAATGTGTTTATTCTTGTCCGAAACCGACGGTTTCCTCAACAGCAATTGTAAGTTTCTGGTTGAGTGCTTCGAACGTTTTGTACGGTGGTAAATCGAGACGGTTGAAACTGAGCACTTTGTTAGTAATTGACGCGCGTATTGACTTGGATGGGTATCATACCATGTATGTGATTTTGGCAATTGGTTGGGCTCACCAGCCTTCTCGATCGTGAATCTTCTCGGTCCATCACTACCTTGCAGATCCTTGAATCCGTTGACGGGGATACGTGATGTACCAGTAGCGAATTGTAGGAGACGGGACTTCTGCTCAGCGTCCCAACTGCGAATGCACTTCCAGAAGTTCTGGATGACCTCGTCGTTCTCAGTGTAGCCACGGTAATCGGTGTGCTTCTTCCAGTCATCGACATCGATATCCGCAATACCACCGATGAGCAGTTCGAGCTCACGTTCGTCAAAGACGTTCACAAGATCCGCAGGGATGAGTTCGTGGAATCCGGTGATAAAAGCCTGGAATTGCTCTTCAACTCGTTTCTGAATGCGCCATTCGGTAATGAGCCTAAGCGGTTAGCACGACTCTGGAACAGTGCAAGATCAGGGTTACATACTCAACGTATTCGTGTTTGTTCTCGTTAGTCACCTCGATGTCATCACCTCCGGGCTTCAGCTCAATGCTGACGGTTTCACCGAAACGTTCGTCGTCGGTTGCAAAGGTCAGCTCTAAAGCGTCTGTGATATCATTGTTCCTACCGTTGTTAGCTCATGTCAATTTGAAACCAGATACTCAACTTACAGCATCCATTCCAAGTTGCGATGGAAGTCCGCATCGACACCCTCCATGTCCTGGAGTGCGACCTTCTTCCTCAAGATCATCTTGTAGAAAGCTCCAATGAAGAAGGCATCCAAGAAACGGCGGTGGAAAATGGCCAAACCAACAACACGACCAATGAACTTGAAATAGTTCAAATGTTCGGGGTTAATGCCGGAATGAGGGTTGATCTGAAGAGTGTAGTTGTCGTGCGCAGAGTATTCGAACAAGCAATAGAACGGGTTGAACATCTCGTGGGAAAGCAGGAAGAAGAATTCTCGAGAAAGACCTCCGTAATCCAGACCATCTTCACCGTCGAACTTGATCATTAATCGCTTCTTGAGATCGGCAGCACTCTGGCGCATAATCTCGTGGTACGAGTCTTCGAAAATATGCGTTCGGCGCACCTTGACGTGACATTGGCCACTGACAATGCGCAGTGCAGGTTGCGATCTGAAGTAGATGAGCTTGCGACGGAAGTCACGCTTGTACTGAGGCACGTTCTGGTCCAACGAAGAAGGCAATCTCGGATCGTCCCACGTGGTGGTCTTCGTGTTGTGGTCCACAAAGTAAACTCTGGCCGTGTTGGTAAGGCGCATTTCCCATCCAGATGGTAGTGGTCCAAGTTGAGAGACGGGCTGTTGTTGGATTGTGCTTCCGTTCGCGGCCTGACCACCGTACATCCTAATGTACTGTTGTCGGCGCGGATCCACCCATGTTGTCGTTCGCGTGTTGTGATCAACAAAGTATGGCCGGCCCTCCGGGGTATGCCGCTGCTCCCAACCAGACGGGAGCTCTCCTGTTCCAGCAGTAGTCGCTCCAGTCGCCATCATGCTTGCGGCGTTGGCTGAGCCAGCGGGCGGCGATGGCTGGCGCTCGGTGAGGGTAGGTGAGTTGGCTCCCGTTCGGTCTTCAGGCAACATGCGGTTCTGATGTCGCATGCGCTCCTGTTGAGTCTGCGCAGCTACATCTCGGCGCTGGTCTGCTTCGTTGAAGCCTGCGCCTGGCCTGATCCAGGTGGTCTGCCTGGTGTTGTGGTCGACGTAGTAGGTTCGCCCTAGGTGGTCCTCACGGCGCTCCCAGCCATTCGGTAGTCTTCCTTGCGCATCCTCAAAGGCGCTGTATGCACCGCCGCTGTTGCGAGCGGGGTTTGCTCCATTTGGTGCGGGACCAGGTCCAGCGGGCGGACCGGTTGGCGTGCCTGCTGGAGGCGCTTGGCTGAGACGCTGGGCAGCGGGTTGGCCTGCGACTGACGGTCGTTGCTGGCCGGGATATACGTCAGGAGGGTGAAGGTTCGTCGTCGATTGTTGTGGAGTTGGCACAGTGCCAGCAGGAGCCCCGTTTACGGATGGGTGCGGGGATGCGGTCGGGCGGGTGGCGTTCTGGCCGCCTTGGCTGATGGGCGCGGTGAGGTTAGTAGAGAGGTTGAGAATAAGCTTGCCGTGGACGACCATGTTGTCGTTGGACTTTTTGAGATCGCGCGTAAGCATCTCTGAGGGGTTGTTAGCATATGGCGCAGGAGCGGCATGGATCAGGCCTACCATCCCCGCCCGCGTCGAGGTCTATCACCGACCCTATGCGGACATTGATGACGCCCAGGAAGCCCTGGTCCTTCTTCTTGAACTTCTTCTGGTCAAAGATCTGAACCGCGAGGACGCTCTCTTCGTTCACTTTCCTGTGTCGTGTGTTAGCGTCATGCGAAAGCGTGGGAGGCGAGGGGCGGGCTCGGGGCAGCATACATGTCGAAGCTCTCGTTCCAGTAGGGGTTCAGCGTCTTCTTGATGACGCTCGTGGTGCGCGTCTGCTCGCCATTGATCGTGGCCACGGCGAAGGGGTCCGGAAATCCTGCAGCACATGCATGAGCGACGTGACGCCATGGGCCTGGCTGGGGGCATACATACGGAACACATCGCGCTTGTAGAGCCCATCGGCGGCGATGACTGCATCGTGTCAGTGTCGTCTCGGGGGTCACGGGTGGTCAGACGTACTGGTGATGCGCAGGTTGGGCTGGCCGGCGCCGTCCATGATGCGCGGATATGCAGCGCACGAGCAGGGCGCGCAGGTGCGGGAGAGCGGGAGCTGGAGGCGGCGGTCGGGGGGCGGCTCTCAGAGCTCGCGGTGGTTGCGGAGGCCTCTTCGCGGAGGGCCGTCGTGGTGGTGATGTATGGCGTCTCTGGGCTGCGGCGGAGCGACGAGGGTGTAGTACAGGTACTGGAGGAGGCTGTGCGGTGCCAGGGCGGCCGTGCGCAGTCTACAAAGGCAAATGCGGCGGGCGTTCACGGTCCTGCCCGAAGAGCTCCCGGCCTGCGATGGCAGCTGCTTATACAATCCTTTGCAATCGCTGCCAGTCGCTATCCCGCCTCTGTCTCTGCTGTCCAGGCCCGGCGGCTAGGGCGTTGAGCGCTGCGGCGTGAACGATGCGATTGCGCGAGGATGCCTTGTGCTGCCTTGGCGCTTGCCCCGCCTGGTGGGAGGCCGATGCGAACTGCTGACAACTGGAGCCGAACGACTCGCGATATATGCTTTCCACTGAGAATTCGGTTCAGAATAGCAGTAACAGGACTCCTGGCAGGTGTGCTCCTTGTCTGGATGGCGAACGCGTGTCTGTCAGGATTGCGTTGGCCCTCGAGACGCATGGCATCGATGATGTCAAACCCGCCCGACCTCCCTGTCACCGCCCGCTAGCATATCCATGGACCGAAATAACAGCGTATCCCTCGACCACATCTTTGCTGCCGCACATGGTGCTGGAACCGTCTCCAGTCCCATCTACGTTTTCTTGGTCTTGTCCGTACATGTTTCCAGCTTCTGGGCGCTCGCTGCGACGCCCCAGCTGCACCCCATCACCCGACCTCGCCTCAAACACACTGTAAACCACCAGTCAAACACCAAGACTATCATTCGTCTAGACGCGAGCCACATGCAAGGCCACACATTCCTGGGTAAACGGCACCGCCACATGTATGGTCCAGCTCAGATCACGTCCCGCCTGTTCCGTATTGCCGTATGTTCAGGCCGAGTGGGTACTGCCGTCACTTCACTGTAATACTGCACCGCCACATGTGACCATCTCAGTATCGAGTTTCAGAATGAACTTTTCTCGCTGTACTCCTAATCTAGTCCGAACCATCCACCTGCTCCAATGCAACCATATGCTGAAATCTAATCTCTATCACGCCAAACTCCACGCTCATTGTCTTACTCTCTAAAACTATCCCCAATCTCAATCTTCTGCATACCCAGCAGCGCCCGTAGTTTGAGGTACGTCTCGTATCCACTCAATTGCATTTCGACTCGCATGTGTCTCGTCCACGCGCCCAGCCAGCTAAGGAAGTTGCTCGGCCAAAGCACGCTGCCGTTGAGGTTGTCCAGACTCTCTTCGTAAACCGTACGACTAGCATACCGGGCTAGAATGAGAAAAGTGCGCATGGGGCCTTGGCGTGTATGCAGACCTTCGTCTAAGGAGCGCGCTTGAAGAATAGTCAGTATGGACGTCTGATGGAGAATAATGGCACGACTTACTCAGATCGTTCGTCTTCAAAATCAACAGAATCACCCTCGGAACCTGTCCAAGCAGCTCAATCAGGCTCTCAATCAACCCGTCTCCCAAAGCATCTCCAATGACTTTCTTTTCTTCATTTGTCCTGCTTGTCATCACACCACCTGTGCCACTCTCCTTCTTCGCGAGCACGGTATAGTCTCTTCCTGTAATCGCTGACGCGAATAGAGGAAAATGCTCTTCTTTAATCCCTGCTACCTGATAGGCGTACTTGCGCATACCAGCTTCATCAGCGTCCAAGACGGCGAGCCAGAGCTTTGCATAGTTGCGTCGCAAGGGCAAGGGAATATCGCGATAGAGACCATGATCGTATAGGATGACATCGAAGTTGGCCTTGCCTCCGCGAGCGGGATTGTGCCGAATAGCGATGTTTCCGCCGTGAGGGTCGCAATGGAGTGGTGCATCTCTGCCGAAGATCATCTCGTTGAAGATCCTAGCCAGTGCTGCCGACACTTCATCCCTATCGATGCCATGTTCATCCAAGCTCTTGAGGTCGTCTGTCCGAAATCCGGATACGTATTCCATGACCAGCAGTCGGCGTTTGGCCCAGAGAACTTTAGGTATGACGACGGGCACATCGCGGACGTGGGAGAAGTATTCACGTGCGCGCATAGCGTTCTTCCCTTCAAGGGCGAAGTCGAGTTCTTGTGGGAGAGAGAGTTGCATTTCGTCGGATAGCCAGGTCAAATCGTATTCGGGAAACCAGCGCTTAAGCGTGGTGAAGGAGAAGCTCGTCAAAGCTAGGTCGAGTTTGGCCCATTCGTCTAGCGCTGGATGTTGTACCTTGACGGCGACCTTCTGGCCAGTCTCACGGACTGTTGCGCGGTGCACTTGGGCCAGTGAGGCCGCGCCTATGGGCCGTTCCTCGAACTCTGAGAAGAAGTCTGAGAGTTCCAGACCCGTGTCTCGCCGGCACATGTCCTGTATGGATTCGAAGGAGGATATCGGGCATTGGTCTTGTAGCGGTATAAAGGTATCGCACCATTCGTTCGGCAAGAGGTAGTTCATGCTGCTCAGATGTTGTCCCAGCTTTATGAAGATGGAGCCGTTCTTCTCGAGCGTGCGGAGTGTACGTTTGGCGCATCGGAGGTGGCAGGCTTTGAGTTGCTCGTTGTAGTCTGGGTCGTCGTCACGCTTGAGTATGTCGCGATAGCTGCGGGGACAAGTATATCAGCTATGGAGTGTTCAATTGGAATGCACCAGACACCTACTCTCTTATGTTGAGGACCAGCGTCGCAACCACCCTGTAGCTGCGCTGCGCTGCCACATAGGCGTGTTTGGCATCGTCGTTTACTGTGACGATAGCTGCGCCGGTTGCGACTCCACCTCCAGTTATCAGCAGTCGTCTCCTTCTCTTGCTGCCCTTTGAGCCCCTCCCTGCAGCTTTGGCCGTGGCATTGGCTGCCTCACTGGCTTGGCTTGCAAACGTCCTCTGCGCTCCAAGCCGGGTCGAGAATGCATTGTGCCCGGTCGACGTGTTTCGCTGTTGCCATAGGCCTTGTCGCTGCGGCGTCGTGTGTCGTTGGGACCGTATACAAGCTCGGCAAGTCCACGTCCTTCGGAGGAGCGGACTAGTAAGGGCGCTCAGAGTCGACATTATGTGTATACCATGGTCGGCAGGGTCCAGGCACTGCAGAGAGTAGGGCGCTCAGACAGAGATGCGAAAGCGAACGACAAGCGGCAACAGACCATGCGCTTCTAGCCACAAATGTCGTCGTTCGACATTTTTCGATGGAGGCGTCGCGCGAATCAAAACCCGGACGCCACACCCTTGTCGGTCTGCGGCGACCATCGACACTGCCGAGCCCCATCACATGCTAAACCACCTTGCCCAGACACGGTACTGCTTGAACAATCTCACTTGCATATCGGTTTTGCTAACATAACGCGCGCCTTTGAAAAATATTCGGCATCCACAACCAGCTGCACCGGATAAGGGACGCCGTCTAACAGCTACTACTTGTTAATGAAAGCATCATGACACCCTTTCCTCTACTGGTATAGTAATTCCCCCGCGAGATATCCAGTCTATTGCGCAACGCCTGAACTGCATCACCATTATCCGTTCACCCATGTGCCCACATACGATCTACCAAACTGACCATCATCCCGTACCCCTGTCTACATGTCGACCGTTTCGTTGAAGCAGAGTACGCCGTTGCCCTTGAGATAGCCATCGACTCCGTCGGGTGTGTTCTGTCGACGCGGATTTGCCACATGAAGGCTCGCGGGTTGGGCGGCGTCTTCGGCTGGGGAATCGGTGATGTCCGTAACGAGGACAAGGCCGGCTGTTTTGATCGATTCGATCAGGGCAGGAGCGAGTGACTAGTCATTGTTAGAACCAGGGACTGCGTAATGAGTCGTAATTCTCTCACCAGTAAACGTGAACTGCAAATCAGGCCCATGAAGTTGTTGTCTCTAGCGATCTGCACGGCCTCCTTTACAGACGTTGTCGTGCGGCCGCTGCTTTGAATGATGTTTGTATTTCCAGAAGGCGACTGCGAAGTATCGGCTCCGAGCTCGTTGCAGAGGAGAACTGGATCTGTCTCAATGTCAGCATCTGTTGCATTCATTGTTCTATGATTGAACTCACAGTTGGGCTGCTTCCAGTTGATGACCGTGCATATGTCCTGGTTGAAGGAGCTGAACAGCACACTCCTCAGTGTCCCGTCTATCTCGCCCGCGCCTTGCTCTCTCAATCGACGTGCATGTTCAAAGACTACAGATAAGATCTTGTCTGCGAAAGTGTTCATGTCGTGCGTGGGGCCGAGTTTGAGGCGTTCTTCTTCAAGCCGGGATGGGAAGAGAACGTGCAGCTCCACATGAATGTGAGCCGGAAGTGCCGACAAGGCATCTTTCAGCGTAATGAACGAAGATGCCATGATTTGATAGATATTCGGTATATTGATCGAACCATTGTTGCCGAGTTCCGCAGCAAGCTGGTCTGCGGCCGTGGTTGTTTGCGCGACGCCGATCGCAGCGAATTGCGCATACGTAAGGATGTTGACCGGAACTTCTAGCCCGTGATGATTGACCTTCCATCTCGGATGTAGCACCGGTATGCCATCTGCAGTCAGTTGGACGAACAGGCGTACGTATTCACCAGACAGGCTGGACCCGGTGATGAGTGTGTGCGGCTGTGAGTCCAGTTGACTAGTAGCCTTCCAGTAAGTTGCAAAGTGTGTAATCTCAAGCGGAATTCCGTGGAACGGCTTGACCACCTGGAAATCGAAGGTGACTCTGCCAATGGCTCGTAGCCTTGGGTCAAACAGTTCGAGATGCCATCGGCCGGTGCTTTTCGAACGCTCCGTAAATACCTTTGAAGAAGCCACACTGCGAGCAATAACCTTTGATCCTATTGTAGGGTATACGTCGAAGTCAATAGAGAAGGTATCGAGATTCTCGATCTGGAAAGAGATCACCTTGAACTCATCCTGTATGGGTAGCAGGATATTGCGTGGTATAAGATCGGAGCTCTTCGAAGAGATGGTAAGCCTTGCAGCAGGGTACTTCGATTCGTCATAGAATCGAATAGCATCCTTGCCCACCTTCTCGAAATTGATGACCACGAACGTCTTCGTGTCCAGAAAGTTGTGGCCGTATCGTCGGAAGGGTATGATCGGTGGTGGTAGGATGAACTCGGGAATGCCGTCAGGATCGCCTTCAATATCCATGGCTGTAGGCATTGAGCTGGACAGCTGAGAGGATATTTGAGGCGAGGCCTGTTTCTGTGTCATGAGCCCAACACCGCGTCCAACAGAAGCAAGTAGCTGCATGCACTCTAGATGCCCTTCCCATGTCGCGTAGTACATGGCGGAAAGACCCTTCTCATCCACAATGTCTACGTCGACTTGACATTGAAGTAGCGTCTTAAGACACTCCACATGACCCTCGCTCGCAGCATGAAAGAGTGGCGTCCATTGATAGAGTTTGTCTGGTTGGTCGAGGTCGGCGCCGTATTTCCGTAGCATTAGCAAGGCTTCTGGCGTCTTGCCCGATCGTGCCACCAAGTGTTGAGGGAACAGCCCTTCCGCATCCGAAAGCATCTCTGCTGACCTTTGTAGAAGGAGTTCCAGGATCTCTAGCGATGCATATTGGCATGCGAGATTGAGCGGCACATGCTCTCCAGGACCCAGACGCGTAAGATCAGCACCTCGCGAAAGGAGTATCTCCACACAAGCGAGCTTTGAGTGCACGATGGCATGTATGAGGGGCGTGAAGCTGTCCTGGTCACGGAAGTTTACTGTTTCTGGAGCAGCGTTTATGAGTTCCTGCACCAGCTCCACGTACCCATGCATACAGGCGTAATGCAATGGTATCCTGCCGTACACGTCCGTCGCGTGCACATCCACGTTACTCGACAGGCCAAGTTTGAGTACTTCGATCCTTCCGCTGATGGCCGACTTATGGAGACAATTTCGCTCGTTGATCTCATCCTCTTGCTGAAGATTCACAAGTTTCGAATCGAGCAGAATCCTCAGTGCAGACTCTGGCGCTTCGGCAACAGTGCTGAGGAATGCCCTGGAGATGTGGTCGCTTGCATCGGGGAGGGTCGATAGACGAGCGAGGCATTCTTCTATCTTGCCTTGGTTGGCGGTGTTGATGGCTTGCACAAATTGGTTGTCGAGCTCGAGTTTCGCTTCGAAAGCAGGTTCGGAGACGCGCGGTTCGGCTGTGGGATGAGGGGCTTGTACTCCTTCGCCTTCAGCCCATCCTGAGAAATCAAGGAGTGCCTGAGTTGCTTGGTCGGACAGCGTGCTGATGACTTCTCGGTTGAAGCATGGCTGGACTTCGACGGCGCGCGCGAGGTAAAGCTGCTTTTCCCTTGACTGGTATGGAGTCAGCCAATGTCGGTGATGCGCAGGTGATGGTAACGGACTTTGGATGTTTTGTCCCACTAGGCAATGTTAGCAGGCCGTTGACAACAGAGGGTGGGTGCATCAAACCTTTTTGAGGATCTTTGAAAAGGCTGTTTCGTTCACTTCCACGAATTGCTAAGTCAGGTTAGTGGGGGCAGCCCCGAGTGCGTGCGGACCAATCACCTCAAGTTTGTTAAGATCCATGCTAAACTGCTTTAGCCCCTCCTCGAGGGCAACATATCGCGAGGATGTCTTGGAGACAGACTGCGGGTGTTGTTGCATGACTCTCTTCTTATCGAGAAGCGTGGTCAAGCGCAGACGCAACTGCGACAGAGGTGAGCGCTGAACACCCCACACACAACGAGTTGAACATACCTCTGCCTCTTTCTGTAGGTAAAACGTGTTGACCTTTTCGAGCTCACGTTCCTGCGCATCAAGTAAGAATCTATGTATATGTCGCTGGCACAAAGACCTACCACTCGGAAGAAGAAAGTGGCCTTGTTTGCCTGCAAAGACGATTGCGGATCCAGAGATTCATGTTGAAAACCCTCGCTCTGTGGAGGTATCACTGGTGTAGCGCTAAGTTTCTTGATGAGCTACGGAATTCATGATCAGTGAAGCCTCGATAGCAGGGAAAGCATAAGGACCTTCTTGAGTGCTTTGTAGTCGACAAAGCTGGCGGCGTATTCTGGAATTTCCAGCTGCCGTTTCTGGATGTGCTTTCCGAACTTCCTGGAAAAGCGTGCTGAGTCAGTAGTGTCTTCTTTGGAAGCCAGACTCGTCGATGAGGCTGTCTTTTTCAAAACCACCAGTGGGCGGGGTTGAAGGGTCTCCATATGATGGGGAGACGTACATGATGCTAGTAGCAAGAAGAAACTCAAAAGTGTTGTTCTCGAAGCCTCGCGGCTATGCGCATACGATGCACAAGCGATGGATCCAGTTCCGGGTTGCGTTGCAGATCCAACCATACAGGACCCACGACGTCAGGTGTGTGGTCTTCGGTCGCCGCCTATTCGGCAGTGGAGACAGAAGAAAAGCTCAAGACGTGATGAGGCTTGCTGGTGACAGCCCAAAGAACGGCCGTGCGTGGTTGGTAGGGAAGTCGAGAAGTGAAGTCACTCACGATGCAGCTGGCGGTACCCTGCAGTGGACCGCTCAATCCATAGACTCGCTTGGGCCTGGTCAGACAGCGTGTTAGCAGGTATTTGGAAGATGCCGAACGAGGGGCCTGGCTTGAGAACGCCACCGACGACTCATTGTAGGAGGGCCACGAGATTGTGCATACGCTGGCAGAAGGGCAGAATGCCCATGTCGTTCACACGACTGTAGAGCGCGGGCGAATCAGCGGGCGTATAGCCGCCACGAGGTTCAGCAACTGCTCACGGACGGATGTCGTTAGGTCGGTCGCATGGGGCAGGGGAGGTGTCGCATGCGGATATTCTGCCGAACAGTAGTCCCGTCGCGCTGTCTGCCCAATTGACGCGTCCGACGTTGGAGTGGCAGCGCCGCCGGGTTACGTAAGGGCCAGCTGTGGCTCCTGCTAGCTCAGCTAGGTAGCTCAACCGCAGAGGATTGCATCTCCGGGCACCTGATCGCGACTGCCGATGCACACGCCGCTCATCATGTTCGCACGCGCGCACTGCTACAGCCATCATCGAGGCTCATCGGCATGTGGGTCTATATACACAGGGAGGCAAGATTCTCCGCGATAGAGCCATGTATTCCGGCAGGTCTCGTCATGCTGCATGATGCTACCTATCTCACATCCGACCTACAGTGGGACGGCCAGGGAGTGAGCTTATACATACATGCGCAATAGCCGCAAGGTAGGACCAAGGAGACAAAAGTGGCAGATGATTCAATACGTGAGCTTTATTCTCCACTCTCAATACGACGTTGCCTCGACGCCTACAGCGCTCCCATCAGTTTTAGTCTGTAAGCCAAGCCAGGCTACGTCCATGCCAGCTAGGTAATCATTTATCAAATGAACAAGTAACAGGTCTATAGGGTATTAGACCAAAACGAACCCATTTTCCCACCCTCGCAAGTTTGCCGACACGACTGACTCTACGCTTCCCATCCAACGCAGCGTCGCGACCGTCTCTTCAGTCACCATAACCACTGATACTCACAAGCCATACGTGTCCCATCCATCGAGAGAATCGTCGGAGCGTTTGTTTTCTGCAGACTCGTGGAAAGCGCGTGCGCTATCATAGGGCGTGCGCGTAGCCACATTTGCGTTCAACTCGACGTCAAGTCACAACTCATCATCGTCCATCTCCGAAGGCTTCAGCAGACCACCAACCTTCATAGCCCGTTCACGCTCTTGTTCCTTCGCAGTCTTTGCAGCCTGTTCACGCTCCTCGGCAAACAACTCAGCATTGTCGCCGGAGAACTCCTTCAGGGAGATCAGGAAGTCGCGCAGAATGACCTTGAAACGGTTCAGGTCGGAGTTGGTCGCAAACAGTCCATCGATGAAGGATGCAATTTGGGCACTGGATTTGATTAGTATGGGTCATACAAGCTAACGAATATGACTTACGTCTGAAGGTTGGGGAAGGCAGTCGCCAACAGGTTGCCGACAAAGTTCCGCAGGAACTCTCTGTTCGGGGTGCCTGCCTGTGCCATATCTGGCGATGTGTAGATGGGACCCTGCAGCTTCTCTGAGTCGACAAGCCAGAACATCTTAGCCAGCAGCATCGACTGGGACTTGAAACCGGCTTTGTGATCGCTATCAGTAACCACGAAGAACACATCCTGAAGAATGGTCGTGAAGAATGTTTGGAAGAAGGAGTTGCAGGTTTGCTGGTCTGTTTCGGACATGTTGGAAACCAGCTCGAAGCACATGGACAGACCGGCGCTCTCAACCTCACGGTTGTCGTGCTTGCTTGCCCACATGCAGGAGTCAATAACAAACTTGAATGATCGGGCATCGAGTCGCAGCAGAGCCGGGAAGCAGCGGAGGTTGATGGTGCGTAGAAGCTTGAAGAACTCGACACGGTGTTCAGGGTATTCCGAGAAGTCCTTGTTGATCATGTCCAAGGTGCATTCGAAGACACTGTCCATGATGTTGATGATCTGGTCCTCCATCATACTCTGCGAGAAGGTCAGCATATATTTTGATAGTGGCTGAGCGAGTCCGACCATGTGCTTGCTCAGATTGGGGCGCCAACGTACATGTAGCTTGTTGATAATCGTCGTCATGACATTCAACACTTCGGCCTCGCGAGCATCGGGAACATTGTTCTTGTAGTCGATCAAGACAGCTTCTAGCAGCTTCGGCACAATGTTATTGTGGATCATCTCCAAGTCGTCGGCCTTCTCAACGTATGTGTTGATAAGTTTTAGAATCTCCTTCTTGATCGTACGAAGGCCGCGGACCTTGGGCATCTTTGTTGCGACGTTACCCTCTCGCTGTACAGCTTCGTCGATGAGCTGTGAGCTCGCGCGGTACATTGTCAACATGTCGAAGTATATCCGGCCGATCTGGGGGTAGAAGTAGGGTCCAATTGAACCACATGCTGCGACATTAGTCTTCATAATGTTACCAACAATCTTGATGACTTCTGAATCTTGTAGGCAAGCGGGGTTTTGGTTAGCTTGGGCGATAATGTTGTCCCACGCGGAGTTTGGCAGGGACATCAGATCCGCGATCAGGCGCTCCTGCATGCTCTTCTGTCCTTGCGCGCTAATCATGTAACCGCAGGCTTCGTAGAAAGTGTGGACTTGCTGGGGTGAGAGGTCGGCGGTGATCTTTCTCAGGTTGCGAACGATCTCGTCGATGAAGGGCTCGGTCTCTCCGGGCTGAAGAGCAACAAAGTGTCGTCGGCATTTGTTCGCGATCTTGATGAACGTATCGCAGGCCATGTCCTGTACACCCTCGTGGGTCTCGTGCATGAACTCGAACAACTTGTTGACGACTGTCTTGAGGAACTTCCAGTGGGCCTTGAGGAAACGAGGATATTGACCGACAATATACATGATGTTACTGGCGACAACGGCTTTGTTGTCCTTTCCTCGCTTCATCTCAGTCAAACCGAGTAGATCCTTAATGACGGTGACCAGGAAGCGCTTCTCTGTCTCCTCGTTCATGGCACCAGAGATGGAACCGATGGCCCAGCAGAGGGTATTGCAGTTAGCCCATGACCACTCTGAGCCGTCGACTTGGCGGGCCAGCTTCTCCGACATGATTTGCTCGGTGTCGTTAACGTCCAAGTGGGTAAGGAAGACGAGGCACTCGCGAGTAGACTTGTACAGCTGGATCGTGTCGCTCTCCTTCACGAATTCACGGACGATCTCACCCTCATCGTTCTCGACGATGAGGACTTCCTCGGGCCTCACCATCTTCTCAATCATGACTGTTCGGAGGTTGGACAAAATCTCGGTGTACTTGTTCTTGCGTAGAGGGTAGTTGGCCAACTCGCGACCGCCGTTTCCGGGAATGCCCATGTTCAGGAGAGGGTTCATGTCCGTTATGGGAAGCGCCTGCATCTCATCGTACAGCTCCGAGACGAGCTTGGTCCAGTATTCCAGGCAGATCTTGAAAACCTCGCGATCGTCGATCTGGCTTATGCGGATAAGGTAGAAATGACCATGCGTAAGGAAGTCCCTGTTCATTAGGTTTTCGATGACATTCAGGTGCATGGTGAAGAAGTTTGTCAGGAAAAGCGCCAGATTCAGAACGAACTCCTGGTCCCGACCATTGCTTGAAGAGTATGTGCTCTTCAGGTCCAGTGAAAGAGGTATGATCTTCGAGATGGCCGTCAATGTCTCGGTGAACATGGAAACGAGCTTATCGTCGTACGCGGGTTCCGTGTGTAGACCGGCGATTTCGGTCAAGCACTTCAGGGTGATGTTGCGGAAATCGGGGACTTCGAGGAATCGGCTTCGCAGGGTCTCGATCAGGCTCTGGCCGCTCGGAGGTGTCTCGAAGATGTAGCCGAGAGGGATCCAGTTAAGGAAGCGCAATAAGGTTTCGAGTGTCGCCTTAATCAGAGACGCCTCGGTGGCTGTCCGCAGAACCTCTGAGCAGAGCTGGTAGATGGCCGTGAACTCGTCGCACATGCTCTGCTTCAGTTCCTTTCGCTTGACCGAAGTCATCTGCTCCTCCGAGTAGTCAAAGACTTCCTCGGACAAAAGTCGCAGGATGACCATGTTGTTCTCGCATATTCCTAAGCTGCTGTGGCAGGACGATATGATCTCGTTGATGAAGGTCGGCCAGTTGTGGGGCCACTCCTGCTTCAGGACGGAGACGAGGACGAGGTTGAGCTTGTTTAGGAGGGTGCGCTCGTTGCGGAGGCTTTCGTCGTTGTTGGACAGCGAGATGATCAAGTTGACGATGAAGTTTCGGATACCTGACTGGGTTAGCAGCGTTTGGAAGACGGAGGAGTGTTCTGCAGCCTACCCTGACACTGGTCTCGAGGCAGCACCTTCCATCTAGTCATGATGACATTGTCGAGAACTTGGAGTCCGAGATCTGCCGACTGTTAGCAACGAGCACCACCAGCCTTGTAGCACGTCGCTGCACTCACACTTCGTCTGCGGGTACTGCGCATCGGATAGGATCTTGTCAACAAGAAGCCATGCGTCTGGGTTCTCTTTGAACTATGCGAGAGTTAGCGGACAAGCAGACAGCGATGGTGAGTGCAGAGGCCTACCTGGTTCAGCGTAGCCTGAGCTTGCTTTTGCTACAGTGGGCGACATGTTAGCCGTGGTCTCATGAGACGCCTTGGTCGGGTCGCATAGATACGTACTTGCTCACCGCGGCCCTCGTAGAAGGCGCGCACTGTGGCGTCGAGCTCTTCAATTGACAGAGACATGGCGGGCTGCAGCGCGGCGGGAAAAGCTCCCAATCAGCCTTGTGATATCGTCTATGTCCCCAAGAAGCTCAAGCGTGGGCTCAGCTTCTTGCAGCGGTTGCGTATGGGCGCGTGGGGCGTGGGCGGAGGGCGGGCGCGCAAAGGTTCGCTGCCTTGCAGAAGTTGTGTACAGACAAAGGTGGGGCACTTGGGCGGCGGAGAGATTGTGCGGGCACGCTTGCCGAGCTGCTGCTGAGGCTACTGGTAGTCGGGCGTTGCTAGACCTGAATCGGGTCCGTCTTCCTGGCTGCTCGCAGTGGTGGAGGTGGGAGGCGCTGACGTTGTTGCAGAGGCACGGGTTTCGCGGTGAAGTCGCGTTTGTCAACTGGAACTACCCGTGCCGAGAGGCAAGCACTAGTGCTCAGGGCTCCACACGCGATCGACTGATACCCTGCATCCTTCCTCCTCCCATCACCACTTCCGCCGGATTGTCGATGCATGCCGATGCCTTCATGCAGCTATCTTGGCACGGTCACTATATTTGACTTGTATATCCGGCTCACTGAGAATTTCACCATGGCGACCAAGACTACCCACTCTGCGATCACGGCACCATGTACACCCGAACAAAGCAGTGTCTAAAGATGCTATACGGCTTCACACAGCTTGGCATTCTCATTATCGTCAAGACACACGTCTGTCATGATTCGATCGAGCGACCAAGTGGCCGATGGTGGTCTTAATCAGACTAATGGACAGCTTGGTCACAGCTGGACGCCTGACCACGCAGCCCGTCGGATATATGCGAGACATCTGATGGCTTGCATCTGCGCCAGATGCAACCTTACGTCGACGCAAGATGTTAAGAGGCCTGTACGAAATACATCAGAATTCAATATTAAGCCAGAGACAATGGAGTGATCAATCAAGGGGCTCCTTGCATGATGCGTGCCTTGCCGCCTGTTCGTTACAAAGCTGCCAATCGTTGCGCAGCAGATTCGCTTGTGGCACAGCATATCATTGACAGGTTTTATCCGGCTACTTCTTCAAACTGTAATTCACATTTTCCGGCAATGCAGAGCTGAGGAATGATCGAGAGCCATGGATTCACACCAAAATATTGCTGACCACCGTAAGTCGAACCGAATTCGCGTCTCTGAGCATAGCCTAACCTCAGCATCACCTGGGCAGCCTACCACAGCATCCAAGTTCCCAGCGATACTCCTTTCAGACTTGGTGTCTCACCTGGAAAAGGATGGGGTGTATTTGCCACGCGAAAGATCCTCAAAGGAGTAAAGATCCTACAAGAAAAGCCTCTCTTCGTCATCCGGAAGCCCCATTGGATGATCGAGGAAAGAGATGTGTTTGCCGCCTACTGCGCATTATCGAAGAAGGAGAAAGCCCAGTTCCTCACTGTTCGAGACAATGGTGACGGCATCTTTCCAACCATGGAGAGAGCTTTCGCAGAAAACTCGTTCACTATCCCCGCACAGCCTGGCATGGCGCATGGCTTCTTCTTACTGCATTCCCGATTCAACCATTCTTGCCTTCCCAACTGCAAGATCCCGGATGACGTTCAACCTGACGACTCCGTAATCAGCTACGCCACCCGTGACATCGAAGCCGGCGCCGAGATAGTCTTTTGTTACGAATCAGACTTTGATTACAGAACTAGGGACGACCGTCACCGCATACTACGCTTTGAGTGTACCTGCCGAGCGTGTGACAAAACTTCAGACATCCACGTTCTCAGCGAAATGCGACGTATCCTCATGAGAGGTCTCGATTACCTCAATACTGGTCGCGATATAGATCAGTCACTTCACGGTTCTAGGACTACTCGACCGATCATCGGCGATGCTGGGTTGAGAAAGACAGCGGAAACATACAGTATCTCGTTGTCTTCCAGGTTCATATATAACCTGCTGATGATGGCGCTATGTGAACAGGAGGGCCTGTTAGATGAGTTTGTCGAAAAACGCATGTTACCAGGTATTGCGCAACTGGCTCAGTTATTTCGCACCGAGAGCAACAGAGACATGGTTACGAAGGCTCTAAAGCAGAACAATTGGACAGAGAGATTTGTTGTTTCTTCGTATATATGGGGATCGCACGATGCAGTGGACGCCGCTTTTGCACAACACTATCGCTTGCTAGCTAGTCGTAGTCGAAGATGATTCTTGAGTATGCGGAATCATCTGATTGCCCTGATAGAGATACAGCCTCTCTATGAGCTCACAAGCGGCTTTACTCCTTGATCCTCCCATCCTTTACCATCTCCCGAATAGCATCAATACTGCTCTCGACCGCTTTCTTTGCCATCTGTCCCTTCGTTAGCAACTGATACAACACATGCACATCTCATACGCGCAGTCTCAAGGGAAGAAAAACCACTTACACCCTTAAACTTCTGAATCTCCTTCTCCGCCTCTGGAGTCCCCTCCTGCACATGCGGCACAACAAACTCAAACATGTACGTCATGTTCAAGTCCTCGATCTCGCCAGACGGGCCATCAGAGACGATGTTGCGGATGTGCGTCCCGTCCTCCTGCTCAAAATCGACCTTCAAACATCATCAGCCAGAATCCCGACTCTCCAAGCAATCATTACTTACCCAACTCGGCCAGTAGCTCCTGACAACTTCCTTGGCCTGGTCCTTGGGCCCCATTCCCTTCTTGAACTTGACATCTCGGGTTACGACACCATCTTTTTCTTCGAGTACGTCGCAGCTCTCAATTACGGGGACGAATTCTTGGGCGAAACGTATCTTGCGCTGTAGGCCGGCCCAGATCTGTGCTTGGTTGAGTACCGGGGTTGCGCCGGCGGGATTGACGCGGGAGGTGTAGGCTATGTTGAAGTTCACCATTTTTGCGTTTGTTCTTCAGGACGGGATATGGTTATGTGGTGCGATAGTTGAGATGTGGAAGTTGGTGGTTCGCGTGTTACAGGCGGGGGGTAAGACGAGTGTCTGACGTCAACCGGGGATGATTGATGAAGGTCGAGAATATACAAATTGCATGTTGGAAGTCGCTCTATATGCTTTATCTATATTCTCTGCTAAGGACTTATTGGAGCAACTGACGTGCCGAGCAGTATCCAAGGCTTTGGTAAGCACCTAATGTTCGGCTCCCCCCAGGGCCGAGCTACGTACAGCCGCTTATGCAAGGTACTTTCTGGGAAAGCGCGAGAAGCCGAACATGGCCTGCATGTGGCAGCTCACTACTATACTATCAAGCTTAACTCCTGTGCGCAGTAGTGAGCAAGTGGGGAGCATCTAGGCAATGTCTGCGTTGCTGTCAGCTATGGTAAGACTTTGTTCATCGCAAGCATTTCATATCGGATGAATCACTCATTTTGGCAACAGGGTAAATAAAGTGGTTCAAGTTTCCAAGTCCATCAAACGTGGCGGGGCATGATCTGTCATTGAGGTATCATTTCACCAGCCTTTCGCTCTAGATATCCATAGTAGCTACTCAGCACAACCCGCCGGAACGCCATGCTTTTGATATGCACATCATCCTTCCCCCTTATTCGCGGGATTCCTCTAAGCATCCTCAACAATCTGGGTGTGGAGACCCTTGGGGTCCTTGACGTTGACGGCCTGCACGTAGGAGTAGAGCTTCTCCTTGGCGCCCTCCTCGTCGTTACGCTTACGGGAGATGCGGACACGGAGACGGAAGGGAACGCCCTTGATACCGGACTCCCAGACCTTCTTGTTGAGCTGGGGGTCTAGGCGGACGTCGTTGGTGCCCTACATCGAGACAATTAGCCTGAGTTTGTACGAATGGCGGCACCATGACAGCACGCGCACGTAGCGCGCGTGCCATGGGCCGGTGATTCTTCCATAGCACATACCATAGCCTGCTTAGCGAAAGCGCGGATCTCCTTGACAGCCTTGGGGGCCCTCTTCTTGAAGCTGACGCCGTGAACCTATACCCAATGTATTAGCCTTATGTTCTCTTCAGTCTTCCGCCCAATGCCTGCGTGACCAAAGGTAGGTGTTCAAGCCAGTGTGATCGGCCTGGTCGAGCACCCACCCAAGGTTCCGCGAGACCATCTGTGGACTTCACAAAACTGAATCAACATACGCGCTTGTGGAGGTGGATGGTGTATTCGCGGGCGACGACATCGGCGATGGCGCTGCGGCCGGTCTTTCCGGCAGACTTCTTGCCGGCGGACTTGGTGGTTGGGGCCATTTCTGGGGGGAGAATGTGTTAGCAAATGCTCATTACAGCAATCAGCTGGGATTGCGATTCGCGACTATTGCGCAAATCGACTGATCTAAACACAGACTGGGAGCGCAATACATACTGACAGAGGTTCTCGCTGCGGGGGTTAGTCGACGATGAGGATGCGAGTTTGAGGCTTGAAGGTCGAAAAGTCACGATATTCGAAAATCGGATGCCGCCAGTGTGCCCGCTTACTTAGCGCGTCGGGCACGGACCATGGCGCACGTGAGTCGAGGCGTGTGCAAGCACCGAAGCAACTGGAACACCATGATGCGTTTGGCTCAATAACAAAGTGTTTCTATTTGGGTATCTGTTGCTTTATAAAATGGCTTTTAGTGAATTTTTAGGTTGTTTTCCAGGCCCGCACCAAAGCAATATTCGTAGAACATCCTTTTGCCTTCCCAGAACGCCCGCTCCGCAAACTCCTTACACATGACCTGGCAGGTCGAATTCCTTACCACGTTTTTTGGTAACATCAAGATCATCCTCATCGTCGTCTTCATCTTCATGATGTTCGCTTTCATCGCTGCTACTCTCCTCGTCTTCGTCGTCCTCATCGTCTTCATCGCCGGCAACGAAGCGATTCAGCCGCCCACCATCTTCACCCCAGAACTGCAACCCTTCGGGATCACGATCTTGCGAGAGATCTAATGTCGGGATATCTTCGAACAAAGCCGGATTCAAATCGTTCCTGAAGCGCACGAGCGACTGCGTGAACCGCTCCAGAACGTACTGCGGGAGTGACGGTTCCTTAACCGTGGTACCATCTGTCGCGGGACGTTCGGCGCGGTCGTCGTTGCTGAGATCGATGAAGGGCACATCTTCAGCTCGAATATCTCCCGTCGGGTTGAGATAAGCATCGAAGGATTGGCGCACGCGTTCAAGCATTTGCTGTGCAGCATCAGGCATTTGAGGCATCTGAGGCATTTGTGGAAATTGCGGTATCTGCGGGAAGTTTGGCAGCGGTGGGAACTGCGGTAGAGATGGAAATTGTGGCATCTGAGGCATCTGCGGCATGCGCGGTCTGCCAGGAAACTGCGGCATCTGGAAAGGGAAAGAGGGCAGCTGACCTGGTAGCCATGTCTCTTCAGGCTCATCTGGTTGGAAATAGTACCGAGGCGAACGAAGTGGTGCTTGGGAGGAGGGCGAGCTGACGCTCACAGGCGATCTCGAGCCTGAATCAAGGTCGGCGTCTAGTATCGCATTGGCAGCTTCTTCACTCTCTGGCCCGTTCAGAATGCGGAGCTCGTTGGTGTTGTAAGAGTCGCATGTACCGCATTGGTTGCCAAGCCAGTGATATTTGACAGAAGATTTTGCTGAACAGTCGTTGCACTGGACAACTGCCCGCGTGTTTGCGAACTGCTCTGGCATGGGCTGACCCTCAATTGCTTGAGTCAACTTCTGCCACTGCAGATCCATACACACAGCACTCTTTTTGCAAATTGGGCATTTGTACGCAGTCTGCATGTAGAGGTTGTAGCACCCTTTGTGAAGATAGTGGCCGCAAGGCATTGACACGACAGCAGTAGACGAAGTGAAGAGATGGTCGCCACAGATTGGACAGTCGCCCTCGGTGGCACGCGGGAGGCACTTGTGCGAGGTCGCGTGAGAGATAGATATGCAAACATTGCAACTCTGCACACAATCAGTCTAGTCCAAAGTGCGTCTAAAGCAGGACGTACCTTGCAGTGATAGAAGTCTTTGCCCAGACCTTCTCCTCGCCGGCAGATACCACAGTCTGGGCAGTGGTAGATCTTCTTCTTGCTGTTGTTATCCCAGAGCTTGCATATGTCACAATAGTAGCATGCGGCTTCCGTCTCACAGTTCTTGCACACCTCGGCTGCTGGTTGGGGCGTACCGCATGCCATACACAGCATGTTCTGTGTCAGCTTCCTGTTCAGGTTGTGGTCCTCGACTGCATCGTGGCAGTGTCGGCACGTGTACCAGCGGCGGCATTCGAAGCATTGCACTTTGACGTTGCGCTTGTAATGCTGGCAGCCGAGCACAAGCTCCCCTTCGGCGCTGTCCTCCTCGTCGTCTTCGCCGTGCTCTGCGCCGTGGTCGTGATGGGGCCGATACGTGGGGTTCGTGTCGCCCTCGCGCAGATTGTACGAGATGTCGGGGGTCACGTCGGTGGTGGACGAGTAGGGCGATGACGCATGGACGTCGGAGAAGAGGGACTGGCCGGAGGTCGGGGTAAAGGGGCGGTCGTGTGAGATGAAGCTCGCGGGGGACGTCGGGCGCATGTGGTTGTACTTCTCCGTCATGAGGTTGTGAATCATGCGGGCGCGCTCCTGGTCGGATATGCTCAGGGCGCGGATCTCGTGGATGCGCTCGCGGAGATGGGCCATGCCATCGTCAGCGGGGAGCAGCTCAGCCATGGCGCTGGCATGCTGGCTGGGGGTGCTGGCGGGACGGAGCGACGAGGGCGACGGCGCAGTCGAGCGTGACGAGTCGACCTCGAGGTGACGGAACTGATCAGCGAGGGTGCGGGATGGATTCGCGGACATGTCGACTGGGGTGTCTATTGGCAGATCGTCATGGCTCTGCTCCTCGTCAACAACCGCGCTGCGAGGCCGCTGCGAGAACGACGAGTAACGTCGGAACCCGTCGCCCAGCGCTGTGGGCCGCCCGTGATGTGCTTCGGTGCTGTTTCTTTCACGTGCGCTCACGGAGCCCGCGTCCGTTGCGTGCTCCCGCCGTGGCACTGCCGCAGACGCAGAGTCGTGATTGTCACATGCCAGAGACCGAGCTCCGTCATGGCTCGCCTCGCCAACGCCTGAGAAGCGGCGTGCATGGCGCACAACGGGCTCGATAATAAAGGACGAGAAGAGACTCATTGGGTCATGGTGCTCATTAGGGAGGTGTGGGAGAGGAGAGGCGTCGTCTCAGGACGCGCAGAGGCCCTCAGGCGCTGCTCGCACTGTGCTTCTCTTGACCACGTTTCTGTGGCTCAGTTCTGGTCATGCTCTCGAAACGCCACACTTGCCACGAGAGAACCTTGGAAAGCCTGCTGCCTGTCTATTTTCGGGCCTGCCTCACTCCGGTCCGAATACGCAGTACGCTCGTTATCGCTTTTTGTATGGTCTTGCGAGCTCGACATGGCCGATCCCGCACCCGCAAGCATTTCCGAAATAGGTCCACAGCAAAATACTCTTAATCGCGGCCACAGACACGATCGCACTGTTATCACGATCACATCCGAGGCCCACACTGGATCCCTTCGCCGTCGCAGTCCCACAGGGCGTGGTGCGGCGGATCCCCCTAGCCCCGTTACCTACACGCTATCGTCAGCGTCCTCAGTCCACCCGGAAGAGCTGGAAGGCATCGTACCTGAACACGCCAAACTCAAAATCACACCACGCAGAGGTCACGGCAGCCCGTGTCAACGGACATCTCGACTAGATGTATGGTTTGTTTTTGTACGGCAACGTTTTCACCGTCCGGCAATGCATCCGCGGTCAATTCTCCACGCGACAAGCCCTTCTCACGTCTGACCTCACAAGCGTTGGTGTCGTAAGGCCACCGACTCACTAAGCTGATGTACCGTATACCAGAAAGATTCCACTTCATGTCTCCCAATTGAGCAGGTTCTGAGATTATCCGTCGATCATAGCAGAAATCCATGGAAATTACAGAGGACGGTTTGGCGTTCCGGTGCCTTGTGAGCCACGCATGACGGCCGCCACAGTGGCAATCCGCATCCTTCGACACCTGGGCCGCTCCACCTACTCCTATACCGTCTCTGTACTACACACCATTCGTCGTGGCGACTTCCTGACAAGGCAGTTTAGATGAAAAACTATGGATTGCGGCGGACTTTTCGCGGTCGCTAAAAGGACCGATGCCATCCATCGCCCTCTACCATCCGCGGCACCACGATACAAAGACATACTTCGCCCGTTAACGCCTGACTCAACTTAAAGAGTTTTCAGTCGCGCATGCACGACCACGCCGTATAGAGCAAGTTTTGAAGAAAACATTGATTACTGCTGCGAAACCTGGGTGTAGAGACGAGCCATTGCAGCCTCGATGTCAACAATTCCACGGTACGACAGCGGCATGACGCATCTCGCAGTCATGTCGCCGACCTGCCTCCCATGGAACGGTACTTCACGATACTACCACAATGAGCAGATTCCACAGTATCCATTGATTGCAGTCGCCATATCGTGGGTGAGTGAGTAGACGGCGTGAGGTGTTGACATGTCTTGTTGTTCACGCTAAGACATCCACACCAGACAAGCTTCCGCAATAATACCCTGGATCGTCCCGCCAGCCCCTGAGATACCCGCAAAAGGCAATACTTTCGCATTCTGTCGAAAGCTGTATGCGATCCACGGTTGAGTTCGTTTCGAGGCGTCTTCTTCCCGTCCGTTACCCGTGGGTCACATCGCCAGGTCAGGCAAAATGTTGGGAAGCGTTGATTGCAGTCACGATTCCCTGGATGACTATGAGCGGCGGTGCCAGCAGCTATGACTCCTCTAGAGCACCCAATTTCCACATGGCTATAAACAGTGCTGCCAGAAAAGGCATCTCGGCGTAAAGTGTTGAAGACAGCAACACTTTCACGGTTCGCAGTTGAGGCTAGATGTACGCTATCGAAGTTTCCATCCACCCCTTAATCTCCTCTCTACATCATTTCGGCATTGTCTCCGTTCGAGACACAACAGTAGTCTTCTAGCATATCTCCTACTTGGGTCCCGGCATTGTTATTCACTTCTCTCAAGGTCACTTCCTCCTATGGCAACTTTTTCATGAGAAGAATATTCCCATGTCAAGGGCTCGTACCTAATGCTGGCATCTGGGTACGTCCGCGTTCGGGGTTCTCATTCAGCCATTTCGCTGTTTCTTTTCGATACTCTATCTGTATCAGCAAATGTACAAGCTCCTCGGGGCAGTCTTACCCATGCAGTCCTTCGCACAGCCCTTCAGTATTGGGAGAATTTGGATGAGCGCTACGACCTGGCCAAATCCCCACGTGTCTTCGGATTCGCCCTGGAGATGCATGCGATTTGCGGACCGAATGGCCCATACCATATACAAATAAAGCAGAAATTGAGCGACAGGAACAATCACCAGTCCTAGTTCCGTCGATGGGTTTCGGAGATTGAAGATTGGGGGCAGGGGTAGTCTTGATGATAGATCCGTGATCTTGGCTCTTATCGGAGTTGGGAAGAGGCTGATGCACTTGGTGAAAAGGGCTCCGATCGCACTATTGACTTTCTTCTCGCACGAAGCCATGGCGTCAACGTATTTGTCGTATATCTGTCGAATGGAGTCAGGCAAGAATGTGTCGACCAATACCGGGGGTTTTTCCGATTCGATGAAGCTTCCATACAGTAAGCTGAACATGTTCAAGCAGGTGATACTAAGGTATATATGGTCGGCCTCAGGGTGTTGTTGGTCTGGACTTGTGATACCCCGATCGCGGTAGCAATAGCCAAATTTATCGACGTTCCACTTCCCTAAGGCTATACCGAAAAGCACCGCATAAGCAAAGTAGAGTATACAGAATACCGTTATCCACAGCGAGGTGGATAAAAGAAACTTCTTCCATGGTAACCGTCGTACCTGTAGAGGTTCTCGCCGGGTATTGTTCGGATGCAGATCTTCGCCTTTCGGCTTTCGTATCTTTCGAGAAAGCCAGACAACAAAAATCGAGGCCGTGAATGAGACGCTGCCAATGTTTAGCCTGAATAGCCTAACATGTTGCACTGGCTACTTACGCGGTAAAGTTAACAGTATCATAAACCACATGTAGATGATAAAGGCTCAGGCTGTTTCGTTGAACCATGGCAGCGATGAGGAGCGCGATGCCTATTTAGATTAGCAATTGCGTAAGTGCATCAGCAGCGACGGAAATGTATTACCGTTGAAAATCTGGACTTCGCTGATTGATCGAAGAACCTTTTCCGTAAGTTCGAGTCTCTGTGAACGGAAGAACTGAGTTCGTTTCATTTCCGGACTGTTCTCATCTATCAGATTGCCCGAGGCATCAAATCGCTTCCATCTTGCATGCAAAATTGCGCAGTAGCCAATACCTGCAATTACCAAAGACAGACCTGCCAGAATGGCAAAGGCTAAAATGATCTTGGAAAGAGTAAGCATAGATAAGATCTATGAGCGTCACAGTTGAACTCACCCCAACACCAGCGATATCAGGGATGGAATTCCCGATGTTCTCACTTTTGCAGTCCATAGCTAAGAAGATTAAGATACGAAGCAGAGGAGCAAAGTACAATATTGCGGAACCACCAGTGGGGCATGCTGACCTCTTAAGCATGCGGAGTACAGAGTCCATAGAAGGGTCTGGGTTTCAGCTTTGGTGGCGGAAACTGCAAGACGTGATTGGCAAGACATATAAGAGGGGAAAAATCAGCCTCAGCCCGCTACTGAAAGCTGAACAGCGATCCAGCCTTCACAGTCAGCTATGCAGGGGGCAAAAGAACAAATGTTCGCGTACTAATCAATCATTCATCAATCATTACATACATCAATAATCATCTACCAAACAACAGCTCTCCTTCTTCTCGTCGTCACAGTACCCTGCCTCACCGCACTCTCTCCCTTCAAATCACTTACACACTTCAAGTTGTTCGGCCTCGCCGTATCCCTAGCACTGTATGTCCATTTACCTGGACTTCCGTTCACCGCTACCATAGTCCGCTTTATGGTACCGTTGAGAAGCAGCGTCATGACCTTGTTATCTCCGTTCTTCACATTGGAGGTACATGTCGCAGTGATACTGCCGGATTGCTTAGACTCCCAGGTGTATGTGTCCAGGGTGACGGTGTCGGCCAAAGTGGGGTTTATCTTGACAGTGACGGTTGCCTTGCTGGTCTTTGTGGCGTCGGTCTTGGAGGTGACGGTGAGTTCAAAGGTAAAGGATGTCTCGGTCGTTACTTTGGGTGCGAGGAATGTGGCGCTGGGGCTGTTGGCGTTGGTGATGCTAACGGTCGCCGAGGAAGGTGCGGTCTTGGTCCAGCTGAAGTTCAGATCAGTGTCTTTGAGGCCCTCGGCGGTGTTGGAACCCAAGAGTGCTACAATAGTGCCGACGCGCAGAGCAGACGCAAAGCTTGCCACAGAGGCAATTGGGGCAGTCTGTGGTGTAGCTGGCTCATCTGGGTTGGGGTTGGGCGAAGGGATAGCTGAGGGAGTAGCCGAAGGAGTCGGGGTTGCGTTAGGGTCTGGGATGTCTGCGGGACTGCAGATCTTGGATGGCGATGGCGGGCTGGGACCTGGGAACGGTGACAGAGGTCCGTACTGTTTGCCATCAAGGAAGTCACCCTGAACCAATCCCCGGATATCGTTGAATGGGTAGGCTGGCGGGTTGGTTCCAGGCACATCGACCTCAGGGAAGATCCATTCGCTAACAGCTGCAATGAACTGACCAGCCTTGATACCATCCTTGGTCTCCTTTACTGGTGTGTTGGTCGTAATGCGGTACTCGCGGGTGAAGGGAGCTTGAGCTGGCGAAGCAATGCGAGCCTCCCATTTACAACGAGTCTCTTGCTTTGGAGTGGCTGTGCCGATGGTGCGATATGTCTCCTTGCCTGTGCAAGGGTCGATGTCAATAGCACTGATAGTGACTATAGCGCCGGAGCAGCTGGACAGGAAGCCGATCACGCGGATATCGGCAAACTCCACATTCGGTGAGTTGTCAGGAACGCCAATGAGGAAGTCCTCAACGCGAATGTAGTTGGGTACACTCTCGCTAGCTTGTGTCGTGATGTGCAAGCTGATGCACACGATCGACGAAGCGAGGATTTCATTGCCACCAACCTTGAGACCAGAGTACTCAATGAAGTCGCCGACCTTGAATGGAACCATGCTGAGT